ATTAATGAGAAATTGACACATCAAATAAGCAGACACATTTTAATTCAATTATGATTGGGTCATAATTATTAGAAAGAATCTCAGTCATTGTTACTTCACGAGTCAGTGCGAATGCATCGCCAACAGGATTACTTCTATAAACCCCAGTACTTTCTAAGACCGATACATGTTTCGTAGAAGGATTCTTTTGAAAGAGTTGATCAATCACTTCTTAGTTCTACTCGTAGCATGTAAACTCGATGTTATCTGAGACTAATTTTTACTCAATATGGTATTCAATAAGGACATCAGTTGGAGAACCGCTGAAAACCATGGGGTAATAAGCAGCTGTTCCCTCCGAGTATGAGACTCCTAAATAGTGGGAACCCATGATCCCCACGTCTCGTGTCAGGGCCTTTTGTCTTCCAGCCACTGGATCACAATCCAATGGTACCCATTTTCCTACTTCTTCATACTTAATAAATCCATCTAGTTTCAAGATTTATTCTTGATTTCTCTCATCACTTTGAATAGCTGACTGTTACCCTACAAAAATAACTTGTATAATCAGATTAATTTAGTTTAAAACTATCAAAATCTTTAATCCACTCACTGGGTTTGCTTATACATTCTTAAGTTCTCAAATTTCAGCAGTAACTCATCTCAAAATTAACGGGAGATCTACATTAAAGGTGGATACCGGATGCAGTAGTATTTGAGAGAATGAACCGTTTCATATACGTTATAGGAGTCAGATCAGCCCAGAACGTCGGTGGCACAAGAACCAAACGCCTAATTATCTCCAGTCGGCTTACATCAACCATACTGTCGACGAGATATCCGACCATCTGGTTAAGGTGAAGTGTATTGGGTAACAGTTCCATTACATGACTGTGAAACATGACCATTAAAAGTGGAGGAAGTGGGAAGGCACTAGATGTTCGACCACTTTCGCCTTTGAGTGTCATGTCTCAGATAGAAGAGGGAAGTTAGTTGAGGAGATTGAAAACCTGCATCTACTTAGATGGCTAGCGTATATGTTACGCATGCCTAGTCATACTATTTACCCTGAGGCATAATCTTAACAGAAGTACAACTAAGGTAAAAATGGTTAGACACTACTAAACTAAAACAATAGCATCATTTAATGAAGTCTGTGACTGTTGAGCTAAGTCATTTATGGAAATGTAGTCTTCACAGTTGGACCCACGTGACAACAGAAATTAGTAAATGGGAACTAGGTGATATGGCTCGGAATTGATCTCATTGGCGCAAATGCATTTACACACCACCTTCATCTTACTCACTATATCAAATTCCTTTACTGATAAATCCTTCCTTCTTCTTTTATGCCCCACCCATAGCTGCTGCCTAGACGTGGCAGTCGCGTTAGCACTTCACATTAACTTTGAAGTCCTATGACAACAGAAAACTTTGTTGGATATTAAGAGAGAAAGTGATCAGTTATAATTTATATAGCTACCCATTACGAGAGAGCCTGAATCCGAAGTAATAGAGCTATATGCACGAGAGTGTGACACTGATAAGGTGTTTCCCACGGGTGATTAGCTTTTCACAAAGAGAATGGGCAGTTACAAAAATGTAAGCACATCCTGTTGCCTTGAGGCATTCAGGTGTAGGTGGTATAGGTTACCTAGGTGGGCTTAAAACAGCCAAGGTAAGTTTCAAACTTCCGAATGCCGCATGTGACAGGCCTTGAGTAGATATCTCCTGAGCTCTGCATTACAGGTACCTCAAGAAGATGTCAACTTCCAGTATGAGCAGCCATGAAGTGTCAGATACACTCACAACTCTGTCAATGATCAAGTCCTCCCAGATCATTAACAACGTCTCACATCTTTGCTTCATAGTCTCTCAGTGAACGTTGTGTTTCGTTTTCCCGGCTCTGGAGCCCTTGATAAAGATCCCATAACCGAGCACAGTATGTCTGATCTACTTAACTGCGATTAAAACTACACATAGGCTCCGTAAGCGTCCACACTCGGTGTCAAATCGGCTAGTAGGCTTCAATAAACAAGTCTTGGTATCTTCAGTGGGATATGTTTGTGAAACACGCATGCAGGACCCGGCTGAGGTTATGTGAGAAATCGAACCCGGTGAATATTGTGAATCGACAGAATTCGCCCATTCAGTTTCTGGAGATTCTGTAGCCAGTCCTAGTGGTCTTGCAGAGATAGGCCCATAGTTGAAACTGCACTATTTGACTGGCTTCCAGTTGACAGTCGCCTATGCGCAGTTCGACTGAATGGTGCACTGAGGACTAAAGAGCAGAGAAACTCAGTGTTAACTGACACACACAGAAAATGAAATTTGGTTAACGTGACACAAATCCTAGCCTCCTAGTGATAACTAAGCGTTCCGATGTGGTTAGCTAAGTAGGTTGCTTCAATGTACGCATGAACAGACTCAGACAGAACCAATACAGTGGGTGAGACCAGCGGAGAAGGATAGGTCTGCAGTCAGAGAGACGACTAGAATGATGGGCGGGTAGCCTTCAGCTACTATTGTGCTGCTCACTATCCAGTCAGATACTGAAAAGAACAATAAGACAGGTCTTCTAATTCTAGTCGAAACTGAACAGGCTATGAGAAACCTCAGACGAGGAAAGGAAGCAGGTGTCGATCGACTAGTATCAAAGTATTGCGGTAGAGGATTTCTGAGTAATGATTGTGTTACCTAGTCGATGGGAATCAGATATGACTCCTGACTGGTCTTAATTATTAATTGTCGCAGTCCTCATGACGGGAAATCAGTCCTTCTGTGATAACGAACAGTTCCTCAAAACTCACGTCATTTGACCACTAGATACCTTAGTCAAAGTAAACAACAACAAAATCGGCAAAAACGTGAAGATTTCAGATATAGCCACAGGGGTACTGAACACATACTCTCCCCCTCCACTATGTTTCGGAGCACAAATACTCACTCCACAGAGCGACATTAATTACATTTCTTCACGTGAGAACACATTCGACGCCAACAATTAAAAGACGACTTATGGTAGTGAGTCACAGAAAGGAGTATTGGATATGTTCATACACCTAGTGAAGACCCCATATTCGAACACCTGAGAGCGCCACAGAGTCTATGATAAGGAGTCAGATTTGGTATCTGTAACAGGTATTCTCATCTTATTGTTATACACATGTTTCTGAGATCTTCCTTTCCTGATCTACGTTTGTCAAAAGAGATCTAGTGCATGATGATGGCGTACGCCTCTTAGATGAAGATACCGTCTTCTGGACGTCTAAAGTAGGAATTTCAGAATATTTCGGATGTGTCTCTCAACACTCAAATACAAATTTTCGCTTCAAAACCGATTTGCTCCATCCAGCAGTAGTAGGGAGTGAAGTGGTAAGTCCTACCAACCTTGGTAGGTCAGTAGGTGACAAAATCTGCACAAATAAAAAAGGCTCGCTTGGTGTTGTCGTCTTACACTACTTAAAGGGCGTTGTGATACCTGATTGCCTATCAAGGCTCATTTTTACTGCACTTCAGTGAAACCGGACCATTCAAGGTGGAGCAGATAGGAATGCTTCGTGTGTTCGACCCCCGGGAAAACAGGAATGGGTATTTGAAGAAGTCAAGTAATATGTGGCGCAGATGTATGCACATCTTAGTAAACTTGTTTATTGATTTACTTTCTCTTTTGACCAATACTTATTCATTTTCTTTTTGGTTTCTCCATCTTTCATCTGGCTGCCTTGTATCATGTTCATGATGTTCAGCTCATGTGGCAAGTTAAACCGTTACACATCAATGACACGACTTATAATGATTATCTACTGACTTTTGAAAGCACCATCCCACCCTGTCTCTGCTAGCAAGTTCGCATATTGATAATATGGGCAAGGCATAACTACTCAAACTGTTTTGATAGTACATAACCTTGTGTATGTGACAAAGGGGATGTGTGTGTGTGTGAGTGTAAGTATCCTTTCAAAAACACATGAAACCATGGTATTCATTGAATAGATAATGAATTAAGATACTGTTCATAGATTGAGAGTAAATCCAGCACATATATAACCGCTAAACAATTCACACAGAAGAATATGAAATAAAATGACATGAATGACTATAATAATGACTGAAAATAATAATTAAAAAGAAGTAAAGTTTGATCCAAAGATTAAATAAAGTCTTAAACCCTCTAAAGCTACGTTCAACACTCAAAAGACAAAGATTTTGCAGAATAGGTAGGGCATAATGCTGATGACGATAATAATAATAATAATAGTAATAGTAAATAAACGTAAAGCTTGATAATACTGTGGTTCGAAGGTGGTCGGTCAGTAAAAATTAAAACAATAACCAAATAAAAAGGTGTGATAATAACACGAAAGAAAAATTAAGCAGAAATGTGGATAAATAGATGAAAAACTATGCAATGAATAGTTGATAATAAAAAGAAATGGTAAGATTAGTTAGGCATTTTCTTTTCCCCATTCAAGTCATAAAATATACGAATTAGACAGACGACTGATAGCAAACTAAAGACAAAATTGAACAGAGGAGGACATTTGGGGACAAATTAAAAACTGGCTAACATTTCTTCACTCCCCGATTAACAGATAATGAAGGAAGGATATGCAGCACAACAAAGCAAGCTAACGGTCTCAATAGGAATACTACAATTGAAGTAATAATAAAACCAATTACAAAATTCACCAATAACGATATTGGTGAATGTCTTCAATATTCAAGTGATTAATTATATTATTTACAGAAGAACAGCATCCTAATCGATCATAACCAGATAGATATATTGAAGGATAGCACCGGACAGATATGAATGACTCTAATTATGAACAAGTTGAAAATAAGGGATTGTTTGGTTGGGGCTAGCTAGTCAATTGATAGCAAAATAAAACTTGTAATTGTATCGCGAAATCAATCAATGATTTGCCACAAGATTACCTATAAATCCTATTATAATAGTGTAATGCTGTAGCTTTGAAATGACTGTGTCACAGAAATACAATACACTGAATGAAAAATCATGTTACATATGGTTGTCCAAATGTTCTAGTAGACTGTAACTCCAAAGGAGGTGACCTGCTGCTCAATGGTGGTTTCGTATGACAAGTTACTGTTGATTCTGATTTGGTTCGACGACGTGATTTATCTACGAAAAATCCAGTGGGTGGTTCGAACTATAGATGAAAATAGAGAAAAATATAGTAAGAAAAATCAAGAGGCAATAAAAAAAAGTAATTTTATGAATCGTAAATTTATTTCAGCTCCTATTAAAGTCCACTTACATTGACTCGAAAGTCTTGTAGTGTACGATATTTTGTGTCCAATAGGTTCTGTAAACGTGTATCCAGTTTTACTTTGCGTTGACTGTAATGCAAGAAAGCCCAAAATTTTTCCAATCCATACAGATGATTATTATCATAGTCTCTGAGAGTTTCCTCCTATGATAGAAAAACATACAGAACAACGGCGTAAGTGTTGAGTAAAAATCCTGACAACTGGTTCGGATTCTAGTTGATTGTGGCTAGAAGAGGAATCTAGGGAGCGCATTTCGTCCTATTTGAGACTCGTCAGCTGGATATACCTGCACTGAGACTCGAACCTCGTATCCATCGCTTCAAACGCCAAGGCGTTATCCACTATGTCACGGAGGAACGATAGCCACTTCTTATACAACGGGTAGTAGTTATTACTATTTATTAACATACTTGTAATTCTGTTATTTTATTGGATTGAATTGTTTGACCAATATATGGTTCGGATTCATCGCTAGATCAACGAACAATTCCTCAAAACTCACGTCATTTGACCACTAGATACCTTAGTCAAAGTAAACAACAACAAAATCGGCAAAAACGTGAAGATTTCAGATATAGCCACAGGGGTACTGAACACATACTCTCCCCCTCCACTATGTTTCGGAGCACAAATACTCACTCCACAGAGCGACATTAATTACATTTCTTCACGTGAGAACACATTCGACGCCAACAATTAAAAGACGACTTATGGTAGTGAGTCACAGAAAGGAGTATTGGATATGTTCATACACCTGGTGAAGACCCCGTATTGGAACACCTGCGAGCGCCACAGAGTCTATGGTGAAGCTGATGTAATAAGGCATCACTGGTTGAGTCATCGTCAGTGTATATAACCAAGCGAAGTATCATAAGAAAGCACAGGTTTAGAGTTCCACGTGAGAATACACATTCATTGATAGGGGGTAATAATTTTCTTGAGCGGGATTAAATACTTAAACTAGCATGAAACGAAAGGTCTGTTGATTAATTCTTGATTCAGTTTTAGCATTTTGTAAGCTCTTACACCTTTAATCTAGACTGGTGTAATGCAGTAAAAAACTTTATTTGCAACAAAAACTTGGGCGTCAGATTCTGTCATCAGATTCCATTCCATATGTAACAAAGAGGCCGTTTAGAATGCGATGTTTGTTAACAAGGAAGTGGTTGTTCACGCTTTTATGATCACCATTAGAAAAATTTTCTGGTAAACACATGGACAACATAATAGTGTAGAGAGTGTAGTCTCTCTAAACATAAAGTGGATTCATTTCCCTACAGTACTCACGTTTTTAGAACATTCAAACTACAGACACACAAATATGAACAGAACATAGAATGAATCACTAACTAGAAGAGGAAAAAATCTCCTTGATAACAGTATTTCAGTTGAACAAACTGAATATGAGAATTACTGATTATCAATGCAAGAAGATGCAAGATATAAGGCCTACAACACAATGAATATCAAAAAAACGGAACACGTCTATACAGATTATAAAATATGCAACCAATGTACAATAGGAACACTCTCACCTGGAAATCTTTAAAAACAGCCTTACGAAAATGACGCTCTAACCCATAACTGTAAAATCGAAACAAACACTCCAGACCATATCTTGCATTCTCCTTAGCATCATCAACTGCATGTTTTCGGAAGTCTTTGTACATTGTTCGATTAAAATGCTCACGCAAAAAAAATGACCAGAAACTGTAAAGTGTGTTCATCTCCTTAAAAGGCAGAAAAAAGAATGTTTAAATTCACCTTATTTAGTTATCGTTGAACATTTGCAAAAACAAATACAACTTCATGCATAAAAATTTGGATAAGAAAGATTACACTCGAGTATACTACATATATCCAATAAACAAAAGCTAAAAACACGAAATCCTCATACATGTTTGTGTGTAGAGCAGGTGTATGAGTGAAGGTTTGTCAAGTGCATTTCAACCCATAACCCAACGCAATAGCTGGATATTTTAAGGCCTAGATCACTGAGTGTACCGACAACTGACAGCAAGCTCGATATTTCTTGGTTCATGTGCGATAGAAAATTGCTATCCTCAAACATAAAACAAAGTAATGAAATAAGAGGGAAACAGTAGAAGTAATATGATAACATACCTGTGATTGACCTTTTCCCCTTGCCTCTCGATCCCTGAGACATTTAGAGCGGAACTGGTTGTAAGCATGAAAGGTGAAACCTTTTTGTTGGAGAAGATGACTTGGATGTTGGGCAGTTGGCATTCCACCACTTAATGGGAGAAATAAATATGAGGGTAAAAATGGATACAATTGAACCTTGTCTATTGGTAAGAAATAAAGATTTGGAACTGTAAAATGAGTTATGAAGATGTCGCAATGCAAAATTAGACATATTCTTAAAGGGAATTTTTGCCACAGAAAGTCAATATGATTGCGTAAACAGGTGGACTGTAAAAGCTGCCAAAAACCAGTACACATAGAGAGTAGTCAGTGAAGTTTCATATACTGAAGGAATTTTCAATTCCCAATAAACACTCGAATAGAAATTTACTACTTAAGATAAGACTTTGTAGTCGATGGTTACCAGAATATGTTATGAAGTAGATTTTTAATAAAACGATAATCGATTTTTATGCTGCCGCTTGTATTATCCCCTCGGTGACTGAACTGAATTGATCGATCACTGTTTGGATATGAGCTCCTGTGCGGATGCCTCTATATTGCTTAATTCAATTATATACATATCTACATTAAACTGTACCCGTCGCACAAGTGGCTATCGTAACTCGATGGCCTAGTAGATAATGCTTTTGCCTTTGGAGTGAACGGTCCCCGGTTTGATTTTTAGTGCGAAAAATATAGCTCATTGGAAGGCAGGTACATGCAACTGACGATTCCCTAATAAATCTGATCAACCAGCATAACTGTCCTATCACCAAAGCATAAAGTGTTTACTGCTCATAGATAGAGATCTTTACTAATTAAGTGTCGGTGAAAGCAATCACAGTGTTTATGCTGTACTCTTCAATTAAAAGAATCACTGGGAAATTATGCACCGTTTTATAGCTGTAGTTGAAACTGACTGCTCAATGAACATTAAACGCATATCGATGTCAAGTAAGATGTCTGCAAACAGACTGTTTTCGGATGGTGGATGATAAATTTACACGTTTAACAGTTTTACTAAGCATAATCACAAAGACAGATGTACTTCAGTTATGCATCCAACTATGCCACAAAAATACGAAACAATTACGCGGAAAGTCATCATCAAGATCAACATACGACCAGGCATCACTGCGTAACGGTCCAACTTGTCACAGCTCATATCACCACATGAAGTAAAAAGGGAAAAAAACGGAAGATAAAGAGGTAGAAGTAGAAAGCAGTAAGAGAGAGGAAAGAAGAACGAGATGATGAGATCAAGTATAACGGCTAAGATGAGAATAATATGTACATACGTCTGCGCTGGACATCGATTCTGAGCCATATTACCTTAAGTCTCCAACCACTAGCTTCTCTTGTCTTGCGAAACTTAACCGATTAGTGTCTGCATCACCCTACATGGCTCAAACCAACAGTCAAGGACATCAAGCATTGGGTGTCATGTTTTAGTCTGATAGCCCTGAACCTACTTCGGTCAACATTATGCGACTAGGCAGACGGTGGCTAGGCATACGTAACATATGTCCCAACCACTCACCTCAGTCAATGAAGGTTTACAACCGCATCAACTATCTTACCTCTCCTCACTAAAACTTTACACCTGACTTCTGCGTTACCCATGTGGTGAAACCCGAAATACGGCCTACGCTACGATGACAATGTCTTCTACCTTCAACGGCTAAGTTCTAGTCATACAGTGGAACAGAGCGGTCTGCAGCACAATATACTTGACCCTTAATAGATAATGGGATATAGCGACGGCGCCATAGATAGTGTAGGTTGGCAAAAGTCAATCGAAATTTTGTATCCATGCAGAGATATCTTCGGCCCCTGAGCCACCAGGGCTGATCCAACTTACCAGGTAAGTGAAGTGTTCGACGTACTCAACCACTTCACCCTCTATTGTTAGCCGGAACACCGTTGAAGATAAGCCGTGGAGCAACAATTTGCATTTGGATGGCAAGAAATGAATCCCAAATATTCTTAAATTGCCACTCAAGGTGTCCAGAAGACTCTGAATTATGTCAGCATGGGAAGTAGCTGTTGTATCATCGCTGTTCGGTCACAGTTTACAAAAAAAGATTAAGCAAATCTCTAAGGTAGACATACAGTTGAAGAAACAACCATTTATACTCGTTGAAAATGTATTTCATCGACATTGCAAACAAACACAATGATAAGTCTAGGCATTGCCAACTTTCACCCAGTCAATTATGGATTTGAAACGTAATCCATCTATTGAGGTCTAAGTGCTTAGGTAGCATCGTTTATTCTCATACAATAGACATAGTTCATTGCCCAGTGCAGAAACCGGCACGTGGTTGTTGAGTCATACACTTCCACATTCTACCACACTTTTATTAGTGAATTCTACACCGTTGGGTCATGTTACCAGTGTGGAGCTGTGGGTCATTGGTATAGGGAGATAGCTTTCAACCACTGCGTCACGAGTTCGAGCCCAACTCCACCTACCGCGATTCGGGCACCCAGGTAGTATAATTAGTCATCATACAGCAGATGTGGCCAATTGCCTACTGCACGAACGTACACAAGGTTGATGAGTCAATTTTAAATTTCATGCTGTCGGCGCCTGTTTCTCAGAAGTGTACAGCAACTTAGGCTATGAAGGATGACAAAGGATTTATCATGGATAAAACTAAAACTAGAAAACATGTCAAGAGAAACTGTAGGATATGCCACAATGCTTCATTTCGAAAAAAACTGGTGAGCATTTATTTGTTGGGTCAATTGTGTAAAACCAAAGCAGTCAACACGTTGTTGAATGATGACAAGTCAGCAGAACCATATCACGGACTTTACGCGCACACATATCGAAAAAACTGCTGCAGAGATATGCATCAGTCATTCACAGAATACAAATTCTTTTTTGCACAAATCATTTTAAGGAGAGTGGAGTAAATTAATCTCATTACAGTGACCTAATGTAGATGAAAACACTGAAATGAAAGTTCGGCGTTAGAGAAACCTTGGAGAATCACTTGAATGAAGTGATCGAATGCTGCATTGGTATTCCAATGCATGATGAAAATCGTCTATCTTATGAGTTTGTGGCATCGACTGATTATCAAATTTCAGGGGATAAATATGAACTTGAATAGTTTGTTATTTCGAGAACACAGTTTGATGGATTCTACACTTCTCCTAACATCGACTACAGTTACAAGAAAATTCACTGTATATTTTGTGTAGGATTTGATTTCAGACAATATTTAAGAGGTCAACATTCAGACATATTTGTGGACCTTCTTCAGTGTATACTTCTCAGTAGATGAAAATCGATATCGAATGCTGTTATTCACTAACGTAGTATAAGAATAGCGTTTATAGTGTAGTTAACATCGTGCGGTGAAGGTGTGAAATTTGATGACTTCTTAAGTTCCTCAAAATGACATATTTTCAGGATCCTGAAAAAAAATTGAAGATGACTTTACGTTAGATTGTTGAATTCTTCCACATATCTGTAATAGGTATTAAGTCATTCTCACTATGAGTGTTTAGTGTTGATTCGATAAACAAAGCTTCAGTAATTAATTTCTTCATCCAACCCACTAAGTTTAGAAGAGTGTCGTTTCTTTCTATCCTGTGTGGTTATGTGTGATTGTATCCGCTGCATTAGTTGAGTTATCCTATAGATTCCTCATCTCACTAAGTCTCATAATTCTGGCTTTGGTCAAGTTTTTGTGCTCCGTTATTATTTTACTTGATCCCGTTCGACTACATCTGGCCTATGAACTTGACCTCACAATGACTGCATAGAATCTGATGAAATAAATCATTTTGTACAATATGCGCTAGCCTCCAAAGCATGTTAAATGCTGAGTTAGAAGGTTTAAAATGCCACCATAATCCCAATGTAGCTTAGAAGTCTGCATAAACTTCGCCACACAGCAAAACCATAGTTTTGAATTCTTTTCCGGTGATGGTAGTACTAGCATATGTTTTCCAGAAAGACAGTCAAAATCAACGAAGAACCTCACACACAAGTGCATCGGTTTAGGTTGCCATACTTCACAGTAGTAAACAAAGAACAAGTGGCTAAGAAAAACGGTATCAAAGTAGACAAGGGTGTGTGAGAGAATAAGCAGTTTGAAGATAAAGGTTAGTGGGTATATTCAAGCGTTAGAAGACGTCAATGAATGATAACCGATTTCCAACCGTGTCATCAAGAGTCTTTCAACAATGATTCGTAACATCTCCAGGACACCAAACACGGACTTCACCGACTAGGCACCCTGAACACCCTTCCAACCTATTCTAGCTTCCTCCAGCATAGTACGTCGAAGTAGGCAGTGGATTGACACATTTAACACACCTCAATCGAAGAAGACTCATAATATCATCAGTTGACTTGTCTTCCTGCCCTACAACCCCTCACCTGCCTTCAAAACTGCTCACATGGTGATTCCACCATACATGGGCAACAATAAGAGGACATCTTTGATCAGAACTCCTTAACCGCTTCAGCTCTTCCACTTTTAACGGCCATATCTCACAGCTATATAACAGGAGAGATAGACTTTCGGATGTCTCGTCATTCAGTGGCAAAGGCGACGCAAGTTGGTAAATGACAAACGTGCCTTACCGGTGCTTCTATTACAGACTTAATATCCCACATTATATCTGTTTCCTCATCTCTTTCCGAGAGTTTCATATACGTTTCTGCACTACTTTTTGAGAGTATTGAGCACCAGTTTTTCCTTTATATATCTTATTTCTCTCTATTATTTGCGTATTTCACTAAACCTATTTCAACTGACCTAGGATAGGATAACACGAAGTCTAGGTACTGACTGGAATGCGTAGGTTTTCTGTAGGCTCTAGTTCCTAAGAACCTCTTCTATCTCGTTTTTATTCTGCAATCCAACATAGCTAGTTTTTTTTATTACTCTTTAATTCATAAGTAAACTAGATGGCATTGACAACTGAATTCCTTGGCGTCAGAAATTTACCAACATGTTTTGACATCAACACCATAAACGTATCATTCCAACTACCTCCACCATATTTTAGGAGCAAGAAAGCATGTTCTAAGAGTTGTTTGTCTTCGACTATCATCCATGAATACATGTGTCACTATTGGTGATATTCAGTGACCCAATAGTATATCGCATATTTATCTTTGTAACTTAGTTGAACAGCAAGTATTTTTTCACCTGGTACCTTGGTTCTGGACGTCAGTTCCTGGTCAGAGCTGAGCTCATCCCCAACTGTCTCCAGAACCATATTAATTGATGCATTAGTGTATAGACTGGTTTCATTATCTACTTGCAAGTTATCTAATTTTTGTTTGAATGCATTAGTTAGTCTAGCTAGATTTTGAACAGTCTTGCGATTGGACCTAGTATCATCGCTAAATATTTAGACAATTCTGAGGACATCAAAATTTATTCACCAACCATTCCCACATCTTTGCAGTAGGCAATGAGCCACACGTATAGTGTGAAGGTTAATGATATTACCTGGCTTTCCAAACCTCTCACTAGGTGGATCAGCGTTCGAACCCGTGAACCAATGAATCACAACTTGGGTTTATAATGGGAGGAAAATGTAGTTAATGCACACCATACTGAGATTGTTGGATTTCGGCATTAAAATTAAAGATGACAGAATGACAATGAACATATAACTAGCGATAGCTCTAAATACGAAAATGATAACCAAGTGTTCAAAAAGGAATCCATTAAAAATTTACCTCCAAGTGACATCCAACTGAGAACGAGCAGCAGAGGCTGGACGAAGAAGGAAACCTACATGTTTTCGCTTGCTCAATGTATCATTCTCTTTAGTCGTTGACGAACGAGCACCATGCTAATACGATCATTAAAAAAAATAGTTAATAAACATGTATGATGAGGATGAAATGATTAAACCTACTCAGAAAAAACGGATAAACTTATAGGAATCGAATAACTTTATCCCACTATCTATCACTTGAATGCAGCATCAATATGAACTGATTACAGAGATGCACAAAAAATGGTTATAGCCACAAAGAAATTAGTGAAATCATCGGTAAAACATTGGATAGTAGAACGAGGAAAGGAAAATTAAAAATTCAACTGAGTATATTTTTGCAAGTTACGATATTTCCTTTTTTTCAAGATGAATTTACTCACAAGTCATGCTACAGTACTATTGTGTAACTGCTCTTTAGGCTTTTTAAAGATTCACTGATTATGTTTCATGCTGTTTCTTTGATAAGTTGTGGTTGATTAACTATACGCATCATCGCGTAGCTTAAGTGGTTCTGTTGTGTTTTTATTTTTTATTATTTATCCGTTTTGTGAAGACGCTGTTCATCTGTAAATCTATTTTGAAGGGAAAGCAGGAATTTTAGTTGAAAGATTGTAAATACCTCATGTTCATTGGACTTTGGTGACTCATAAACATGGGGAAAGTATACCAGTTTATTTGTCGTTGTTGTATATTAGTCAACCTTAATTATAGACGAAGATGAAGATCAAGGTAGTATGATAAATTGCATTGGTAACTTGTTATGCTAGAAATACGATACACACAACCTGCAAATGTGATTGTATTGATATTGGGTAATGATTGAAGGTGGAATGAAAATTTGGACTGCGGCTGGATTCGAACCATGGACCACCGAGTTTCGGGCCTAATGCTCTACTAACTGAGCTACGAGGTCCAACTACTGACCACAATTTTATTTTACTCCAATCATCAAGAGTTTTGCCCGACTACTATATGAATTCGTGGTGCGTTACTATCGCTTGATCGTATTCACATTGGCTGCCCACCAGTCAGGGATTTCTCATCCCAATCCAAATTTAACTGAATTAGAGAGGGGAGCAGCATCATATTGATTATCATTTTGACTATCTAAGAAAGCCATGGTTTGAGAGACTTGTATTGATACTGGGTGATGAAATACATCAACTGTTCTTTCTGTCAAGGTGAACCGGAGAATCTGTTGCTGTCACAGGATTTCGATATCTCATATCACAATCCCTATTCAGCTGGTATACTATAAATCTAGTAAACCGAGATTTGCAATTAAGCAAGAAATGTAGGTAACAAGAAGGAATGCATTGCTGAATTAAAAACACGACCTCGTTTTGCTATGGCTTGCAATAAGACTGTCTAAATTCTTCAAACAACCCTCTAGTCCTTGAAGTCTTTCCACAAAAAATCAATATCTCCCGAAAATTCGAGAAAAGATACGCGATCATACGTGTAGACCATCAGATTGGTTGAAGATAAAATCAATGGTCAAATTTCTTTGTGAAACGGTTTGGAAATAGAAAAGGTCATTGTAAACAAACACAGACTGTTGTTGAATCCCAGTTAGTTACACGCAATCGGCAAGAAACCCTCAAACTAGGCTTTGTACTTGTTGACACTCGTCAGTAAAGTGAATCTGCAACCTCGAGGGGAGGTAATGTCCACTGAGAGATTCGGTTCCGCCTCGACCAATGATACAGTCAGAGACGTTACCAGTGAGCTATATTTGAGCAGCGTTTGACCTCTTCAGGACTAGAGAGAAACCAATCAATGTACGAATTGTTGTCTTTTGTATATGTTTGGATGCTGTAAAATACTTCCTGTTGCGCCTTACAGTTTCTTTTAGTTCTCGAGAAATTGAGTGACCATCACGGGGGTTTAATCCAAATTTTATTGCTTGAGTGCCCATACGTATGTAACGAGGTTGACTAAAATGGAGACAGAGATAAAAATGACAACCATTTTCCAGTGAAGAAATTTAAACTTTCATGTAGCACTGTGAAGAAAGAACGGAAGAGAACAATCTGTTGCTTGCCAACCAGTCAATATTCGTACTCAAAAAGTCTCAGTTTTCCAAAGCAGATTTCACGAATGACTCAAATCACAAACACTGTAAAGAAGCAAGAAGCAAGTCAAAAGTCTGAAATTATGTATCATGTTAGTTATAAATGGGTAGGCACGATAATAACCCCTTCATTATAGATGAAAACTGTGAAGTACATTCTCAGGATTTTAAACCTGGTGAAATCTAATCCTTCTATATATCATCCTCCGACTAGATTTTCACAGAAAGTTCAACAATAGGGACCAGCACAAGTCTGTGTCAACGTCAATCAATAAACACATATTCAAGGAGGTTCAAACCCTACCACTCAGTTTTTAGTATAATCCGTAAAGAACCACTTACATCAGAGAAAATGCGACACGAATGTGAAAAGGGTTTGTTAAAGAGCCGGGATAGAAATGAATATCATCATCACAAACAAGCCTTTAGCGAATTATCTTATTCTGTTATAGCTGGAAAATGATAGGAAAGCACCCTCAAAAAATGATGTTTATCAGCGTTGGTCAATGAAGAAATAACGAAAAAAAAGTGAATCTATGGGTTTTACAGTAGTTTTTTTTAAGTGCTAGTGTAACTCACTGCATCTGTGCTAAATTCTGTAGTATTCCCTTCATAATCATTGGAGACGGGGAAAAATCCAACGGTACGACCTTTAACATCTTGTCTTAAGTTAGAGAATGAAGGATTCTTTTGATCATGATTAACAGAAGATGATGTTGGTTGGGATGTGGAAATATGAGAAAACGTGTTGTTCATCTGAGGCACCAACGGTATAGGATTCATCTGAGGAATGTAATACAGTGGAGCTGAAGGAGTTAGAAATGGAGAACGGTTGATAGTGGGTAGAATATAACCCGCAGGCGGATGGATTGCAGCTGTTGGCATTATGGCATATGACATTAAACCAGGAATTGAAAGATGACCATAGGGTATATAGGATTCTAAACCAAAGTAAGAAACAAATCAAAAAAAACACCTTGTTTAGTTAAGGTATGTGCAGTTTTCTTTTTAATTAATCATCATAAAGATCAAAATACAACTACGCATTACTGTGTAACGGTCCAACCTGCCAACCACACCTTATATCATCACATCAGGTAACAAGGCAATAATACACAAAGTGAAGAAGGAAATAAAAATCGGTGAAAGGAAGTAGAAAGTAGTGAAAGAGAGGAAGGAAGAATGAGATGACAATAAGTATAGCGCTAAAGATGACGATAATGTGTGACATCGATTCAGAGTTATATCACCTAGAATCTCCAATCATTGGTTCCTCTCGTCTAGCGAACCTCAACCGGCTAGCCTGCATCGCCTTACATGTCTCAGACAAACAGTCAAGGACTTCATGCATTGACGCTAGGTTTTAGTCTAGCCGCCTGGAGCCTGTTTCAAGCCTGAACCCACTTCGACCTACATTGTGCGACGAGGCAGGCGGTAACCAGGCATTAGCATGATTCACTAAGTCCTTGAAGATAAATAAAATTGGGTTCGTGAACTGAGTCGATGTTTCTGAACTATGCGATGAATCGAACTTAATAGAAAGAGCTTAAGAAACAAGGATAAAGTATGTATTGATCGAGACGATTGGATTGAAGTAGAAAAAATTGCAACGTAAAATGCTCAGGCCATTTCAGTAGATAACTATTTGCACGAGCAATTTGAAAAGGTTAACAACAGTTGAATTCTGGAAATTCCTCCACTCAATTAAATACAATGAACTGCATGAGCATATAGGCACCAAGAAAGATGAAATACTCAGTATGTAAATAAAGCTTGACCAAGTAATCAGAATCAAATAGCCAGGAGTTTGAATTTCTACCAACACCAACATCACAAAAATAATTATTACAAATACATGAAATTATTACCTGAATATAAGACAGTTGGTTGTATGGAAAGAGAAGATGCTGCTGAAATATCCGAGATAGATGTATCGAACTGTACAAAAGAAGGGTTGGAACAAGTAACAACAGATGAAGTATCAGGAACATATGCAGTAGATGGTATATCTGTACATGCAACAACCACATCTCCACCGTTAACGCTTACTTCTTTACACGATTCTGCCGATACACTAACTTCCTGCATGCGACAACAAATACAAAAAACAAATGGTGAAAAGTGACTTTATTGGAACGAGAAATTTTCATAAATGAGAGTTTATATAATGCAAAGAAAGTCAGTAGTAAATTAGAGTGCAAATTGAATAAACGGAATGAAAGCGCTTATATCGGTTAACAATTGAAACAAGAGGCAAATGCATACCTAAGTAATCAAAATACCAATCCAATGGAGATGAAAATCAAAAATAATGCTCAACTCACCGTAAAATTGGAATCAGAATGAATATTGGACTCTTCTATCGCCTTGCAGAGATCATCAATTATAGTTTCGATGCTTTTATCTACAGAACTATCGGCATCCGTCAAACTGTTCAGTAGAGAGAGAAATAGAAATGGAACGATAAATCCAGTTTCAATAAACAATCATAGATACTCAATCGTCTAAACATGCAATCAACAGCAGTTAGATATATCCACGGTTAACGCGAATGGAGTACCATTTATTACGTTGTAAGCGACCCTCTGACCAACACGAACAGACAAAATAGACGTAGAACCTTGCGCACAAGTGCATAGCTTTAACTTGTCACTCTTCACAGTAGTATGCAAAAAACATGTGGACAGAAAATGACTAAAGTTGACAAAGCTGTATGAGAATAAACCATCTCAACATAAAGATTAGTAAAGACATTCGAGCTTTAGATGTCAAGGAGTGAATAAATCTGTACCATTGTGACCGATTTTCAGCCATGTCACCAAGGCTCCTCAACCACTGATTACTGTCGTCTTGGGGAGACCAATCATCTAATCCACACATCCCCATACTACTGAAACTAACAGTCATGGACTTCATCGACTGGTGTTACTTCTTAGTCTGGCCACCCTGAACCCTCTTTAGACCTAATCCAGCTTCCCTCGACATGATATATCGAGGTAGGCGGTGAGTCGGCATGCGCAACACATGTCCAACACACCTCAATCGATGAAGATTCACAACATCATCAGTCGACTTGTCTTCCTGCTCTACAACTCATCGCCTGGCTTCAACATTCCTCACACAGTGATCCCACGATACACGAGGAACGAAACGAAGACATCTTTGATTAGAACTCCGTTACCGCTTCAGCTCTTCTACTATAAATGAACACTTCTTACGGCCATATAACAGGAGAGAACGGAATGCAGTGGAGTATACTCACCTTATCACAGACATTTGGATGTCTTGCCAGTCAGCGCCACAGGTTACTCGAGTTGGAAAATGCTAAACGTGCCGGGGAATACAGCTCAGTGGTAGAGCTGTCGACTGCAGGCCGAAAGGTCTGGGGTCAAACCAGGGTGCTCCGATACATTAACCTCGCCTGGTTAACTAGTTCATTAGTTACTAACAAATCCTAGGCCCAGGTAGAGAGGGCACAGGGCTAACAACCCTACCCCGTAAAACCAATCCAACTGCTAAAGAAACTTCAAACCACAAACAAAATATAAAAAAATAATAACAAATTTATTCCTCGCTGGAATCGGAGAGGTGAAATGATGCCAGCTGGTGAAAGCCTGCCTTAGGAAAGCCAATTGGCCATTGTGTCTTCTCTCTCTCTCTCTCTCTCGATGAAAGCGAAAGTAAATGTGGGGACATGGAATGTACGCACAATGTTTGAACCCAGCTGGCAAGGCAGCCCAGATTCCAAACGAGATGAGAAAGTATGACATAGAAGTGCTAGGAATTTGAGAAAGCAGATGGAATGGAAGTGGACTCTCCAAACTGTCAACTGCAGAATCAATTATCTACTCAGATATTGTCACCCACACGACAACCACGAGCACACTGAGTTTTCCAGTGGCTATCATGATGTCTCCAAGAGTAGCATCAAAGGCTCTCATACAGTAGGAGTCAATCTTCTCCAGAATCAGGATCATGACAGCAAAGTTCAACTCAAAAGGAAGGAAGGTCACAATCATACAATGCTACACTATGCTATGCACCTACAAATAATACAGGCAAGAGAAGGAGGAATTCTACAGACAACTTCAACCAACACTGGACAAGACCCCACCACAGTTGGCGACATCAAAATCCATTCTAATGGGCGACATGAATGCCAAACTGGGAGTGGAAAACACAGGAAGAGAACTAACCATGGGCCGAGAAGCGCTCGGTGAGGTGATGAAAGAGAATGGAGAATTGTTTGCAGAATTCTGTGCATTCAACGATTTGGTGATTGAAGGCACTGTGTTCAAGCACGAGGATATCCACAAGGCGAGTGACATGGATTTCACCAGATGGACACACTAAAATTCAGATCGACTTCACCTCAACCACAAGAAAGTGGAGACGCAGCAAGCCTACTTGACACAAGATCAAGAAGGGGAGCAGACCACTCACTATCTAGTGCAAAGAACCTCCCTAATCAAGTTAAAAACCTTCAATGAGGCTAGTGATAGACCACAGTTCAAGTTCAATACCCAGAACAGAAACTGAGGGGAGAAACTTCGAAGCACATCTTCACGTCAGCCAGCCATCAAGACAAAATAGGAGATATCGAGGAACATCCCTGAAAAAACATGTGTGGATGAACACTGGAACTCTCTGAAGGCTATGTGGAAAGAAACCTGCACAGCCGTATTAGGAAGGAAGAAGAAGAAGCGCCGAGACAAGGAATGCATCTCAATGGATACATGGAAGCTCATCGAGCAGGGAGAGGAGGATGGTGAAGCAGAAGATAAACCAGTGCAGTGCAACGATGCTCAACGACAACAGGAACTGAGTACAGTGTATAAAACACAACACTGGACAAAGAAGTGAAGAAGAGTGCACGCAAACACAAAAGACACTTCTACACTGGCAAGTGAAGCAGAACAGGCTGCCGCAGGTAGGAGAGACAGACACCTGACAACATTGTATCAAATAACCAGGTTGCTATCTGGGAGGGAAGAGATCAACGCAGACGAAACCAATAAAAGATGATGATGGAAATTTAATTACGAAAGAAGAGAAATAAGGAAACAATGGGCCGACCACTCCGAGAAGCTTTTGAATCGACCACCACCACCACCACCTGCACTTCGTCCAGAAATACCACCTACAGCCCAGCCACAGAACTACTAGTAAACATAAATCCTCCAACAAAAATGGAAGTCCTGAACACCATAAAGCTACTGAAATGTGGGAAAGCAGAAGGACTAGATGGATCCCGACAGAAGCACTGGAAACAGACGCAGAGACAACAGTGGACATGCTCACATCACACCACACCACTATTGCAGAAGGTGTGGAAGGAAGAGAAGGTACCTACCAGTTGACTGGAAGAAGGGTTACCTTGTCAAACTCCCAAAGAAGGGAGACCTCAGTGTTTGCAAGGACTGGCTCGGAATCATGCCCCACTCCTGTCCACCCAGAGCAAGCAAAATATTAAGCCGCATCATCCTGGAGAACTTAAAGGATGCGCTGGATTCAAAACTATGATCGGAACAGGCAGGCTTCAGGAAGTACAAATCATGTGCGGACCAAATTGCAACGCCACACCACGCATCATCATAGAACAGAGTATAGAATGGCAGTCAACCCTCTACCTCAACTTCATCCACTTTGAAAAGGCTTGATTTTCCTGATTGTGGTGGACGGGATCATGCAACAAACAGTGAGGAGAGAGAAGAGGGGTATACGCTGGGTGGACCGCGGAAAAGATCCTAGAAGATTTAGATTTCGCTGATGTCGCACAAACTTGAAGATCTACAGGCGAAATCCAACAAGTCGACAGAAGAGGTGAGGCAGCAAAGGAAGATGGGACTCCCTTCAGGTGAACGTAGAGAAGACAGAGGTGATGAAGATACACAACCAACAACACCATCGACAACAACAACAACAACAAGCTCCAATCACCATCAACGGGAGAAAATGAAAGGAATTAACCTCCTTCACCCACCCTCCTAGGCAGCATCGTTTCAACTACAGATGGCACAGACGAGGACGTCAAAGCCAGCCAGAATCGGAAACACAGTAAGACAGGCGTTCATTAACCTGAAACCAGTGTGGAGATCTACTGCACTGCACTCAGCTTAAAGTGTGAACAACATCTGGATTTTCAACACCAATGTTAGTGAAGTCACTGCTTCTATATGTTTCAGAGACTGGGCGCGTTACGAAAAGCATTTCCAACAAACTACAGATATCAGACATCAACAACTGTCTACGCTGGCTCGTTACTGGAACTCAGATGGCCAGAATAGCAAGAATAAGCAACAAGGAACTCTGGTTGGCTGGCTGGCTGGGAACGAACCAACCAGGAACCTATCGCTGAACAAATATGCAGAGGGAAGTGGAGGTGGATTGGGCATACACTGAGAAGATCATTCGGGGACATCATGCGCCAGGCCAGGCCAGGCACTTGAGTGGAACCCGGATGGGAAGCGATGAGTTGGAAGTCTGTGCCGAGGATGATTTGGAGGAGATGGTGTTAGGAGGAAATGAGAGCTTATGGGCAGTCGTGGAGCCAGGTTGAAAAGATTGCAGAGAACAGAGTGTGATGGAGACGTGCTAGTGAAGCCCTATGTTTCACTAGGAACCCAAGGGACAAATAATAATGATAAACGTGCTTTCTCTATCCGAGCTGAGATTCTATCAGCAACTAACCTGTTAGGGCTGATGCAACTTCCAAGTAAGTGAGGTGGTCGACACATTCTCCATCACTTCTCTGCTTATCATTAAACTGGGAATAATTGCAGCAGACCAGTTCAGGAGCATCATTTTACATTTCACAGGTGCCAGTGAAATGCATGTCAAACATACTCATATTTCTGCTCAACGAGTTCAGAAGACCCTTGCACATTTTCAGTGCCTTCAACTAACAGGAGAATATCGTTTGGATACTCCGAGTCAATCAGATGACCTCCAGGAAGTATATTAATCCCTATCTACGTACTTATTCGTAAACAACACTTTTCATATCAGTTTTTGACAATATCTGTCCACTCTAAGTATCGTAAGTTACCTGAAATTCGGATATGTAACCTGCTAATTGAAAGACAAGCACCCCATTTTAATTGACCACGGTTTTACACTACCATCAAGCCAAATATAAGATTTCGTGCATCTTTCAGTTTTGAATTTTACTTTGTTGAGAGAAATCAGTGTTGAGTCAGTGGCACGACAGAAATAGCGAGTCATATGTGAGTAGGAACACTATTAACAGCAGCTGAAACAGGACACTAAACTATCCATAATACATGATCATTTTGGCAGTATTAAAAACTTCAGCAAATAACCTACATTACTGTTCAATAAGTGAGACCACATACCTTTTTGGAGCAGAAGATACTTGTGAGGGTTTAGGACTTTCTTTCCTTGAGTCTTCATCGGTCAAATGATCAGAATTAATCACAGAATCATGAGAAGAATTCGGAGCAATTACCAACAAGCAGGAAAGCATAGAATCGTCCAAATCATCCTCGGAGTTAGTGGATGATGTTCGTGTTCGACACTAGAAAATTTAAGTAGGGATTTAAGTTACTTACGAGTCATCATATAAACATACTATTCTTTTGAAGTATTTTCCTCAACTTCTTTAAACATATTACAATACATGACTATGGAGAGAATAAGACGCAATCAGCAACCTCTGAATTTAATCAAGGAAGTGGTTCCTACGAGTACACAGAACATTCTATGTGGTCATCATCATCATTATCAACATAGGACCAGGCATTACTGCCTAACGGTCCGACTGGCCACACCTCATATCAGCACATCAAGTAAAAAGGTAGTGAGGTGAAGGATGAAGATAAGTGAATGCAGTCAAAAGAAATATAAAGTACGAGAAGAAAGGAAAGAGGAGTGACAAAATGGTGAGATTCGGTATGGTGTAGTTAAGATGAAGATAATGTGTGTATACATCTGCGCCACTGACATCCATTCTCAGCCATATCACCTAGGGTCTCCAACCACTGGTTCCTCTTGTCCCGCGGACCCCAACTACCTAGTCTGCATCGTCCTACATGGCTTAAACCAACAGTCAGAGACTTCATACATTGGTGCCATGTTTTAGTCTGGCCACCTCGGGCCTTTTTCCAACCTGGACCCACCTCAGCCAACATTGTGTGACGAGGCATACGTAGTACGTGTCCCAACCATCTCAGTCGATGAAGGTTCACAACCTCGTCGACTGACTTACCTCTTCTCCCCAAAACTCTACACCTCACTTCTGCATTACTCACATGGTGACACCACGGAATACGTCCTATACTACGAAGGCAACGGTGGTCAAATATGATAAAATTAAATAAGAATGGGGATAGTGGGCCTCTGGTAAACAAAGCACAGAATCGAACAACGAATAAAACAAGCTTACATTTTGAAAGTGTTGCAAAACGCTTCTGTTACTCGGTGTGACGAAAAAATAACGGAAGAATTATTTGTCGCAAATAAAACACTCGATTACTAGCTGGACTTTCTCCAAAGGATCTTTCAGGAACCCTTTTATCAGTAAGTCTTTTAGATGTCTTATTATTAAAAAAAATCCCTAGTGAACAATGAATATGCTTAAAATGCAACTGGAACCTGATATAATACTGTACGGAGGTGTAGCTTACAGGTCGCCTTTCAACCAATGGGTCAAAAGGTGCAGAACTTGCTACCCTACCAAGATATGGGGAGGTAGGCAGTGTTGTGAACATTCACATAACAGGTGTAGCTCATTAGCTACTGCACACATGTGCATCCATAGTTGTTGGATGCAATTCGATTTTTTCCCCTGATTTATTTCATATTGCTTACATTCGCTTTATCAACCTATGAAGTTATCAGAGTGACAACTGACACTAATCTCTGGTTTCACTAAGATGTTTATAGAAGTCCTATCAATACATGAATTCTCGTGGTATGTGATTAGTCCTTGATGTGTGTATTGGCATACGGTGAACTTCACGGTTTTAAAAACCTACAAGTATCTTTATCCCACTGAGGTTTGCCTCAGCTTGGCAAGTGCTTTGCTTAAGCAAAACTTTTTATTTTCTTACCACTTACGTTCTTTGCCTACCTTTGAAATATGAGACTATGGGTGACGACATGCGTTGTCCGTTAAAATTTCCGGAGTTTTTAATAGAAATGCACATGCAGTTCACTCTAGCTATCTAAATTATGCATACTCGTAAGTCGGACCGCCAATTTGGTCAAGAGATATAAGTACATCGCCTAATAACTTTTGTATGCCTGGATATCTTAATAGCTAAATTCAAAGTTGATCAGCAGACAATATATCACTGTGCTATATAATCTGTAAATAAATAACATGAAATTGTCATTTTTTACAGTGTACAGTACATGCGATCCTCTTGAAAGTCAAGTGATTTCAGCAATCTGTCACACTTCTTAATACTTATTAGGAATCCTTGGAAGTCATTAGTGCAAGTAGCGACTGAAAGTTGTAAGTGAGCACAATGATGAACCAGTTGCAATACATATCATCACAGACAGCTAAATAGTATTGAAATCAATCTCTTCAGTAGTGGCACTGGTGAAAATTACATAGCAGTAAACGATGGATGACTGCATCAAGAATATTTACAACACACATAATCTCATTTTGAAACTTACATGAGTGGATGGAGAATACTTTTCGAATTCGGAAAAACTTGATCGTGTGTCGTTTGGTGCCTGGGGATACGGCGATTGATTACTACGGGAAGGATGGGATTCATTTGAGAAACAAAAGTTTAGGTCCTCCTGAGCTGAGGTGACTGGTATGTCATTATCAGATGTTTTTACAAATTCTAAAGGTGATTCAAAGACAAATAAAATCCAAAATAGCCATCAATAGAACCAGTCGTACTTAAGTCTTTGAAAGACCAATGTAGGCCTAAAAAGCAACCATTATATGTCCATATCAATTTATAAGTGAATTAGTTTAACAAAAATAGTGAATCAGCCAAACCACTAGCTACGGTATGTGAACGTTATTGTTTAGAAATGAACAAACAATTATTATACTGAAACCTGTAGAGAAGGTGGAAAGATTTGCTGTATGTGTATGTCGCGTACAGTGCTAAACTGGATGCCTCAACAAAAGTACTTCTATACAGTATCATTTTAAAGAATCTAACACACATTTTTTCTTATGGAACACTCGTGAATAGTGATTTATGCAACTTGATATCCATGCAACCTGTTATCGACATACTACTGCCGACTGATTTTGCAACAGTGATATGTCGGATTTAAGCGGTGTCGCAGTTATCATGCTTTTGCTCAATCTTAGACAGTAAGATTACTTCGAAAGGTCCCCCCTATCACATACTTTATACATTATTCTACTTCTGCTCACTACTTCCATGGGTGCTTGAAAAATTGAATTTGTGGACTTCAGAAAAAGGTTTCACCCTGGTTTGTTTGTCTGGCAGACACAAAAAACTTCTCGGTTGGGATTTATCATGGACTGACATCACTTTCAATGAGAAGTCGTGACCAGTGAATGACTCCACTGATCGAACAGTTACTCAACGACAACATTGGATGTAGGTAGCGCTATATCGTGAACTGACAGAAATAGGAAATGTGGACTACTGGATTTCGACCCAGTGGTTGAGTGGTAACATCCTGGCCACGGGACCTGAAGGTCCTGAGTTCGATCATTGGCTTGTAGGGTCATGGGTGCGGACTGCTGAGGAGTCCCACACCAGAACAAAAAAAGAATATAAAAAGAAACATGACCAGATAGAAAAGCAACATTTATACTGACTTCCCTGAAATAACGAAGAGTACTAAACCACGTTTGACTGCATTTAAAGAAGGAAAACGCAATGACCTAAATTACCCCACTTTCAAAAAGATTGTCTTAAGCTAGCTGTAGAATAATCAAAAACAGACTGCACAATTTACAGATTTTTAACTCACTGTTCTAGGGGGAATACTCTGAAAGTTAAACATAGACCTGCTATTCCTGATGACATTAACATATTCCTTCATTCAGTCAACATCTAAAGTGGAGTGAAAAAATATCCCATAGCTATTTGCGAAATAAATTCCCGCTAAGTTAGGTATTCTATATCCACCAATCTTTACACCGTCTGCTAACTTACTTTTGTTATTATTGAGTGAGAGCCAGTTAGAAAGAATTTTTAGGACTACAAAGTCTGACATGATATTGAAGTCCAGCAGTTCTGTCTGAGGCTTAAACATATTTTGTCTTAACACTGCATTCACGTATATATATATATATATATATATATATATATATATATATATATATATATATATATATATATATATATATATATATATAGAACGCAGTTCAAGTACAACACTCGGAAACTGAAGAACGAAACTACAAAGGAAATCTTCACGTCAGCCAGCCATCAAGACAAAATGGGAGATATCGAGGAACATCCTTGAAGAAAGCTGTGTGGAATAACACTGGAAGTCTTTGAAAGCTATGTGGAAAGAAACCTGCACAGCCGTATTAGGAAGGAAGAAGAAAGAAGATAAAAAATGGATCTCGACGGATACCTGGAAGCTCATCGAGCAGGGAGAGGAGGATGGTGAAGCAGAAGATAAACCAGTGCAGTGCAACGATGCTCAACGACAACAGGAACTGAGTACAGTGTATAAAACACAACACTGGACAAAGAAGTGAAGAAGAGTGCACGCAAACACAAAAGACACTTCTACACTGGCAAGTGAAGCAGAACAGGCTGCCGCAGGTAGGAGAGACAGACACCTGACAACATTGTATCAAATAACCAGGTTGCTATCTGGGAGGGAAGAGATCAACGCAGACGAAACCAATAAAAGATGATGATGGAAATTTAATTACGAAAGAAGAGAAATAAGGAAACAATGGGCCGACCACTCCGAGAAGCTTTTGAATCGACCACCACCACCACCACCTGCACTTCGTCCAGAAATACCACCTACAGCCCAGCCACAGAACTACTAGTAAACATAAATCCTCCAACAAAAATGGAAGTCCTGAACGCCATAAAGCTACTGAAATATGGGAAAGCAGCAGGACCAGATGTAATCGCACCAGAAGCACTGAAAACAGACGCAGAGACAACAGTGGACATGCTCACATCACACCACACCACTATTGCAGAAGGTGTGGAAGGAAGAGAAGGTACCTACCAGTTGACTGGAAGAAGGGTTACCTTGTCAAACTCCCAAAGAAGGGCAACTTAAGAACTGGCACGGAAGCATGGTCCTGTCCTTGTCCACCCCAAGCAAAATATTAAGCCGCATCATCCTGGAGAACTTAAAGGATGTACTGGATTCAAAACTATGATCGGAACAGGCAGGCTTCAGGAAGTACAAATCATGTGCGGACCAAATTGCAACGCCACACCACGCATCATCATAGAACAGAGTATAGAATGGCAGTCAACTCAACTAAACCTCAGCTTCATCGACCTTGAGAAGGCCTTTGACAGCGTCAACTGAAACGTTACTTGGAAACTGCTTCAACACTACTGATTACCGCAAACCTTTATCAGCCTCATTCAACAACTATATGAAGACGCCACATGCCAGCCAAGTAATTGACAATGGGAAGCTCAGTCATGCTTTTGAAGTGAAGACAGGAGTGAAACAAGGTTGCCTACTATCACCCATGATATTCCTGATTGTGGTCGACTGGACTGGATCATGCAGCAAACAGTGGGGAGCTGTGAGAAGAGGGGGATACGCTGGCTGGACTGAGGAAAATAACCTAGAATGTCTGGATTTCGCCAGTGATGACTTGTGTTTGATGTCACACAAACTTTAAGATCTACAGGTGAAAACTAACAAGTTGGCAGAAGAGGCAGGGCAGCGAAGACGGGACTTCAAGTGAATATAGAGAAGACAGAAGTGATGAAGATACCACACCAACAACTCCAACAACAACAACAAACTCCAATCACCATCAACGGGAGAAACTCAAAGGAAGTAGCCTCCACCTATGTAGGCAACATTGTTTCAACTACAGGTGATGGCGGCACAGACGAGGATGTCAAAGTCAGAATCGGAAAAGCAAGACAGGCGTTCATTAGCCTGAAACCAGTGGGAGATCTTCTGCACTCCACTCAGCATGTGGAACAACATCAGGATTTTCAACACCAACCTCAGTCAAGTCAGTGCTTCTGTATAGTTCAGAGACTTGGAGCGTTACGAAAGGGATTTCCAATAAACTACAGACATTCATCAACAACTACCTACGCTCGCTACTGAAGATCAGATGGATTGCCAGAAAGAATAAGCAACAAGGAGCTCTGGGAACGAACCAACGAAGCAAGAACCTATTCCTGAATAAACATGCAGAAGGAAGTGGAGGTGGATTGGGCATACACTGAGAAGGCCGACTGAGGACATCACGGGCCAGGCCGTCGAGTGGAACCCAGATGGGAAGCGACAAGTTGGGCGTCCGAAGGTGACATGAAGATAGTGTGAGGGAGAAATGAGAGCTTGTGGTTAGTCGTGGAGCCAGGTTGAAAAGACTGCAGAGAACAGAGTGGGGTGGAGACGTGCTACTGAAGCCCTATGTTCCATTAGGAACCCAAGGGACTAATAATAATAATAATAACAATAATAATAATATATCTTATGATAACCGCTTACCAGTATGACAACCTTAGCAGTAATTTATTCTCCATGATCGAAAACTGATACCTTTCATTACAGTACACAAGTTTGGAAGAAACGTTAATACAAACACGCAACCTCATAGTTGGATGTCACCAAATCTTACATCAAATATCAAAGTTTAGAGAAAAGAGACAGAATCAACGTAGAACATTGCACACAAGTGCACCGGTTTAAGCTGATACGCTTCACAGTAATACGCAAAGAACAGGCGGGTAGAAAAAGTGATATCAAAGAAGATAAAGTAGTGCAACAGAAGAAACAGTCTGAAGATTGCAATTAGCCCAAATATTAAAGCTTTTGAAGATGTCAATGAGTGAATGCATCTGGCCCATTGTGACCGATTTTCAGTCATGTCACCAAGAATCCTCAACATTGATTCCTTTAGCTACGTGGACCCCAACCAGACAGTCTATCTCATCTCACACGGTTAAGACCAACAGTGAGACTTCATCGACTGGTCCCACGCTGTGGTCTGGACACTCTGGACCCTCTTCCAACCTAATCCAACTTCCCCAGTCTAGCATGGCACATCCAAATATGCAGTGGCTTGGGAAGTGCAGTATATGTCCAAGCCATCTCAGTTGACTAAGGTTCACAAACGCATTAATCGACTTGCCTCTCTTTTAACACCAAACCACCATCAAACTCTGAAAACTTAACGATAGTTTTTTATGTACAAATCACGTGTATTAATGTCCTGTGGTTAGCATACTACAAGAAAATCACAATAAGGTAGGCAACAGTCTGTCTGTCCCTAATTACACTGTATACTTGGCGACAGAGACTGAGTATAAAAAGGCATGATTATCAAGAAACCCTTTTGTTTCGCTGATAAAACCGGAGCGAATTTAATGTGTTTTGACTGGAACCAATGCAATATAATGGGACATTAGTCTCTTCGTGTATTACCTCAAAGCATGAAATCGTAGATGATGGGACTGATGGAATTGTTTTTTCTAAACCTCACGATATCCTGTGTCAAGTTCTAATAACGACTTCTGACTGATCAAAAGCAAGTACTAAATTAAAATACAGTGAGTGAACCTTGAAGCCGTCAAACTTCTTAGACTAAAAAGCTAGTTAAGTAGCAAGATGTAATAGGAACACTGCTTTCAAGTGTAGATAAAAGGGGAAAAATTAGGGAGCATCTGGATAAGGAACTGTGGTGTTTTTAAAACTGCTTTGAAGTTCGACACATGAAACAAAGGGAGCGCCTAAACTGATGGGTTATTCTTACATCGGACTTGAGCATTAGACACATCAACATCTAGTAAAGGACTAACTCTAATTGCCTAGTTTGGGAAAAAAGGAAGGAACAACAGTTAGCACGAACCTTAGTTTAAGCTAACGAAGTAGAAATAACAACCAAAATGGAAAAAGATTATAGTAATTGAGAATACAAGCACAAGTATAGATAAAATGTCCCTAAGTGGATGCATTTTACCAATTCTTACTTACCTGTAGGCTCTGACTTGGCTATTGATTGAGACGGGATAAATTCGGAGCATCTGGATTAAGAACTGTGGTGTTTTTAAAATTGGTTTGAAGTTTGGCACGTGAAACAGGGGGGAGCGCCCAAATTGATGGGTTATTTTTACATCGGACTCGAGCATTAGACACATCAACATCTAGTAAAGGACTAACTCTAATTGCCTAGTTTGGGAAAAAAGGAAGGAAAAACATTGAGCATAAACCTTATTTTAAGCTACCGAAGTAGAAATAACAACTAAAATGGAAAAAAACTATAGTAATTGAGAATTCGAGCACTGATATGGAAATAGTTGAATAGAAACACAAAACTTAACGCACTGAAGATATTCCTGTCAAGTTGAAAACAAAAACGTGGGAAAACTATGGGCATAAGTTAGACGAATTCTACCTTCCAGAAGTGTAAGAGGAAAAAGAAAAGATGCACCCAAAAGTGCAAATAACTAATTGGAGGGAGAATTTCTGTAGTGTAAATGGGACCAACAATGTCAAGTTTTAACTCTCTCGTTGCCTGGTCCCCGTCCATACTTCATATTTGGTGTTACTTTATGAAGCAGGTTTTTAGTATTATTTGGTGAGAAAGTTTTACCACTTTGTTGAATAACCTCTTGTCCTCATTCAGAGCTCCTCACCCAATCCTGGTGCTTACTTAAATCAGTGAGCCTGTGTATCTTAGAATGAATAAATTTACTACAAGTGGGCATAGGGAGTCGAAATTGAAATGCACTCATCAGCCTTGTGCACATTTGCGCATAAGCAATGAGCTGCATCTATTGTATGAAGATTAATGATACTACTACTCAGCTGCTCGAACCCGGTAGGTGGAGGGAAGCACGAACCCGTGACCCATCGTTTGAAAGTCATTTCCCCAAATCAATGAGTCAGCTTCATAGGGAGTAATTTTGCTCGGAATATTAACAAAAACTAAAAAACAGATGCGTGGATTTCTTCAGATATTTTAGAAAATTCCTTTAAACAGGTAATGGGTGATTATCTTGACTTCGAGTCTGCAGCATAAAATTATGAATAACTGAGTGATAATCAAATATTCAGATGCACGGAGATAACTTAGTGGTTCATGAAAAACCTTAACGTTTACAATAAGGTTTGAATTTCATCCTTAAACACTGATCTGTTAAAATAAGGTACAAAATAAAGTTGAACATAAATAGAAATTTATAAACTTCGCATTATTTGGTTAGAAAATGGAAAAATTAAGCGCTTACCTCTAAAATATCATTTAGATCTGAACAGACAGAAGCCACCCGGTTAAACTTAGCAATCACATTCACATCAACCCAGCCATCAGAATCCATCTGGCGACGAAGGTAGATATCTCTAGCTAAGTTATCTGCGCTGAAATAAAATTCAACTTGATGCAATATCTGGTGACGTATGAGAATTGCAGGGTCATTACTTGAAGATGCGAGAAAACACAAACTAGCAGGTTGAGCAATGGTTGTTCCCGGAAACAGCGACGTAAAAACATTGTTCAAGCCTGGAGTTGTGTTTATTGATACTAAAGGGGGAGTTAACAATTGGGGTATTATACGGTTCGGTTCTGAGGAATCACTTGACTCTGAATGGGATGTTCCTGAAGTGTCGATAGGAGCATGCGATGCTTGACTGGTAGTACAGTAGTCGTAAACAGGATTAGAAATTCCAGAAGTTGCTGGTGCTGCCGCCACAGGTGCCGTCGGATAAATCATTAGAAATGGATATCCAAGAGCTGAAACTAGAGGGAAGAAAAAATTTAAGTACAACCTTTTTAACTCATTTGTTGATCTTCTGCAGGAATTGTGTTAAAAGCTGATGTGAAAAACTGCAACCGCATACCCTACCACATAATCAATAACGTTTTACCGTTAAGCAATGACTCAATTTGTGACAAACTGGATACTATAGAAAAACTAGTAGTTCGCTTTAGTATCAAAACACAGGTGTCTGTGGACTCGCACGTAATACTTTCACAAAACAATCAACTACTTATGCCTGGTTCCTCAGAAGGTATCTCAGTCCTTGCAACACTCTACTAACTGTTTTAATAACCGCCCAGCAGTTTCGTCTTCTGAATTGTCTATCCACTAAAGATGCAGTAGATGAGGCCAACCTTTGGGGAGCGTAAGGTAATAAAGACATGCCGATCGCTATGATCACGTTGGTGGAAATAGTTCGGCCCTCGACCAGTGAAACCAATTTTTTAAAAGCTAAGAGTGGTTGACTGTTTCGTCTGGTGACCGATATCATTGAAAGAATTATTCACACCAAGTGGTGACATTAAGAGGATATTGAAGAGGCATATGTCTAGGTATGCAAAGACCACCACTTAGTAAGTTTAAGATATATTGGACAGTTGGCTTCTACAGTTTGGACACCATACACACATACGCAGCAGTTCTCTCAGATTCCGTTTACCGGTTGGGAAAAGGACAAACAGTCAGTCGATGAGGTGATATGTTGAGATGAAGGCTAGTTATGTCAAGTTATTACACATCGGTGTATTCTTTCCATGACGGTGCTCAATAAATCGTGAGATCGAGGTGCCAAATGCTAACAGGGTTAGTCACGAAAGTTTTCTTGATTTTTTTCTTTTCACCATCACAGTAAAAACGAAGCATTTATGCATAGTATGTCACTACTTTCCCTTTTCTAGTTGTCCTACTGATCTTTTTTTGCATTTCTTTGTAATTAGATAAATGACGCTATTTGTTTCTTTCCAGCGAAAATGTGACACACTGTTGCACCACGGTTGATTGATGAGAAAACAGAAGGTACACTGACTGTCAGACCGATTAATACAAACGGTAATAAAATCCTAATTCACTTGTGTACAGAAATACTACAACGTTAGTTAGCAGAAAGTCGGGAAAACTGCAAAAACAAGCAAATCGCCTCTTGTCATACGTTTGGTATCCAAACCGTTGCATGAATCATAGATTAACTTAACAAGTGTAGATTTCTACACATACCAGGTACAATACAGACACCAGAAAAAAGGTTGGTTGTCTGAACAGAACCTTAACATAACTTGGTGAGATCCAATGTAAAGAAAAAAACTTACGAAATGCGGGTGATGAACTTTGGGGTTTGACCCGTAAAGAGGAATGGGGATTAAATGAGGAGGTAAAGTGTTGAGTCTTGGAGGAGCTGAGCGACCCTGAGTTGACAAATGATCAATGTTTGCGACCGAACTAATATCATTTGGAACCCATGTGGAATTCGTGACAGCATACGTTGGTCCTGAAGTTATAGAGCCAGTTACGCTATGGTTGCCTGCTGCTATGTAGGTACCGGAAGACTGTTGGCGACGCTAAAATAAAAGGTTGTTAACAGGATACAATTCTGTGACCACAACTTTCAGAAAAGTCAAATGGGTAAATAAATGGAGAAAACTCACAAAGGTTGCCTCTAACCTGCCACACTCTGAGACGGTGTAGAACAGAGGTGAAGCGACAAAGTGATGTATATCGAAATGGTGATATAAATGAAAAAGGGAATGACTGGATGAAAACTACTTGGTTAAAATTTCGAACGATAAAGAGTGAAAAGATCTACGTCACTGAAATCTGTCTTGATCAATGTCCGCGGGGTTCTCCAAACACCGAATCCCCAAATCTCGAAAATATGAACTTTGGATGTTTACCTTAAGGAAAACAGTCAGTCTTAAAGTAATGAGTAGTTAAGTACAGATTTGCGCTCGTGTTATGTCGCGCTCCTGCCTAAAAGTTAATCACTTGATGAAACCCATATACCACTTACCAGCATCAGTGGCAAGTCATCACTCCCATGTTTTTTCTCAACTATGTTGACAGCAAAGTAATCACAAACATTCCCCACAAATTTTCTATCCTACCGTTTTACTTACATATTTGCTGTTTGTAGTTCAAGTTAAATCGCTGAACAACTTATTCCAAAAAAGTGAGCTGTTCATCAGGGAAGCTGTAGCTCACAGGTTTAAGCACTGGACTTCTAAACAATGAACTGCAGTCAAGTGACATCATTAGTCCTTGCACCGCCTACTGCACGAACGTGTACATGGTTAGTGAAGGTACCTTAGGGTTTTCAATTCGCACTACTCACCAGAAATAAAAAACATAAGCTGCGACGAACTGTTATGCCATTTCTACTTACGTACTACTATAATCAAGGATAGTTGTGGTTAAATAATTTTTAACGTCTGAAAATAGTGATTTGACTTCGATCAAGCTACTATGACGCTGCATACTTGATACTCCCTGGAAGTATGACAAACTAACATAAGCATTACAGTGGTGATTTTGATGATAGTCACTAGACAACCGAACTACGAAAGATACCTAAAATAAAGATATTTAATACTCGAAGTAGCATTACAAACACTACAAACATTACAAACACACTTATCAGTCGGATATGATATTTGAAAATGACTTACGATGTTGCTATATGGACTTTATATCCTTCACTTTACCTCTTCGTTTGCTAACAAGCATTAGTCTTCACAGTAGCAAACTCTTATCCAATAACTAACTGATCACTGCAGATTAGCAATGATACTATTTATTACCAAGTACTTTAGCATTCGCCTTAAAAATCCACACTTAAAATACCAAAAATTCTTTGTTTTCTGATATATAAGGGGTGCTACAAGTCATTCCATGACCTTACTATTTAACGGAATAGGAATAATGTGCGGTAAACAGTTCAGCAAACCTTAGTCAACATGATTCAGATAGTATGAACTGAGTCGTTTCCCTGTACTGATTTCTCTTACATGAAATCAGATATCAACCAGAGATTAGTGCTTTTACTTCACCCATGCTACAAAACCATAAGTCATTTAAAAAGCCTGTCTGAAATATATATTACTGATTGTCAGTCATACTAGATTACCCGTTTGGCATTTGCCAACTCGCGTCATCTATTTCGCGAATAGTGAGATACCTGGCTATCTACCAGAGGACGAGTATACTGCGTTGCAGTACGTTCTGTTGCTACGCCCCTGTGAAATATGCCTATTAAAAGTAGGAGACATTAAACAATTACAGGTGCCTGATCATATGTGTCTTCGTGGAATTGCTCGCGTTTGGTCTGACCACCGCACTTGTCTTTTACCATGGTGGCTTTCACCTTGAGCTGATTAAGTATGGTGACTGGAACCGTCAAGCAGTAGGATCTGATTCAGTGATGCTGACTGGTCGACTGAAATAATTCACATTTCAAAACGGGACAGTAAAAAAAATAGAAGGCACAAAAAACTGTTAGGTGTATTGCACCCTTAAGATAGCCTCCATAACATAAATCATATAGCATAACGAACAGAACATGCTGGATTAAAGGTCTGTGCAATTTTATGAACGTCAGCACACTAATTTTAAGCCACAAAACCAATTAAGTGTTGGTACCAGCTGTAATCATACGGATAAGCAAAAATCTAGACTACTGAACAAGCAAACCTTGTTGATGGTATAGTAATTCCGAATCAACACAACAAAGACTACGAAAAGTGCGTCGGGAAAGTAGAAAATATTGTAAGTGATACTTCATTTTACAAATTGAGAAACGGAGATATCTCACCTGAGGACGAGTAGATTTCGGATACCTTACATATCGAACAAATGGACGGGGTCGACTTCCTGCGTGACCCAGACTGTTTGGACCAAATGCTGAATTTCCCTTTTCGCTTGGACAATTGACTTCAACTCTTGACTTCCCGCTGTGATAATTCTCCTTATCATGTTCACCTGACCGATTCCATCGGTCTGATCGTGAACCAGAAAATCCATCAACACCATTTGGCTTTGGGAAAATGTATTCAATAGAGGCCTGCTCCCACTTCTTTTTCTGATTAGTTACTGGGGGTTTGTGATTGAGATCTGCCTGACAGGAACTAACTTCAGTGGACTGAAACTATAAACCATACAGAAATCGACTCACATTTCGTTTCTGCTTTTCTTTTGGTTTTGAACCTGTGGCTAAAGTGTTGGTGGAGCATTGTGACATTTGTGACAGAGCACTTTGAAGAGTCGGCCAGTCTTGGTCTTTACTGTAAGCACCTTCTTGGTATGCAACCGCGTCAGACCCATCACCGGACGATCCTAGGGCTACAACATACTTCATTGCATATGGGTAAGACATACCTCGAGCCCACGGATTGTCTTTACTGGCTAAGCAACCATTTAGCTTTGAGGTGGAATCAGTTGCAGACTGATTAATATCGTCATGAGAACGAGCATCTAACAGGCTTTTTTGCTAACATGGTGAAATAGTTTACGATAATTACAAAAAATGCTTACCGCGTCAGAAATACTCAGGCGGCTTCCTACAGGCTGCCCGGTGGCCATGAACAAACGCTAACCCGCTACGCGCCGGCGTGACATCAGAACAGTTAAAGTATGACTAAAGAGTTACCGAGTAAATATGGCCAGAGGTTTGGAAAAATTGAAAAAGATTTCTCGGAAGACATGTAGAAAAAGCTGAGATTTTTATTCCATTTACAACTCGTTATTTCTGTACCTTTGAAGCTGAATGTGTGAAGAACTTCAGACTTCGTGTTTTAGAATTAGTGAACGACGGTTCCTTGGGTTCTACGTCTGTCTTATTGAAATACGTTCTGAGTTTGGAATGGTCGCAATTATCTTCCAGGCTCTGAAAAACCTGAAGGGATAGAGACACGATTATTAATTAATCTGGTCTCAAGGTAGTATTACTGTATCTCATCTGGGGAAAGCTTCTCGAGTATAGCCCATCGGTACCGTTGGACTCGAGGTGTGTGTCTAGCCTCCTTTTAAAGGTATCAGGGGATGGGGCTGTAACAACTGCTGAAGGGAGGGAGTTCCATAGTTCACATACCCTAACTGCAAATGAGTTAGCATGGATCTCTGTACGTGTTCTCTCATGCTCTATTCTTAACGGGTGACCCCTAAGGTCACGTTTCCGACTGAAGCTTAGAAGGGATCTGTTGGGATGGAGGGGATTATGGGCGTTGTGGTACATCATGACCACATCCCTTCTGACCCTCTGGTACTGTACTGGGTGCAGCTGAAGAGCAACTAAGCGGTCTGGGTAGGGTTTGTGCCGTAACCCAATCACCTTCTTTGTGGCTCTTCTCTTTATCCGTTCTAGGATGGCTATGTCCTCTTTCAAGTACGGAGATATTACAAGAGAATTTTTTCTAAATGAGAACGAATGTACAGAGCATACACTGTGGTGAAAAGAGAAGTTAGACACCCTAAGGTTCGCGAGAGAAACCCTAGGATTCCATATGCCCTATTGGCTGCAAGGGGACAGTGGACTGAGGCTCCTAGTGTATTGTTTAGTGTAACTGCCAGATCCTGTTCCGTGTGAGAGTGACAGATATTTATTTCATCCAAAGAGTAAAAACTGGGACTGCCTTTATGTTTGTCAACTCTCATAATTCGACACTTCTTCCAGTTGAGAAGAAGCAGGTTTTCTGTAGTCCAGTTAAGGATTTTCGTAAGGTCCTCCTGGAAGATCGAAATATCCGCTGGTTCCTGTATTTCCCTCCAGATCTTCAGATTATCGGCATATAATAGTGAATGTGAATCAAGGATCCTTGGTAGGTCACTGATAAAAGCAAGAAACAGTAGTGGGCCCAGTTTAGAACCTTGGGGCACACCACTCAGCACCGGGGACCAATTAGATAAAGAGGAACCAACTCTAACTGACTGCACCCTGGTGTACAGATAATCTCTAAGCCAAACTAATAATTTTCCGTGTGCACTCGCGAGCTGGAGTTTCTTACAAAGGATATCGTGATTAACCCTATCAAAGGCCTCAGAAAGGTGAACCAATGTGAATAGGCTTTTTCTTCTCGACAGAGAGTGTCCAGCTATTCCAAGCTATCAACAAGTTGGTGTTACATGACCTTCCTGGTAGAAAGCCATGCTGGCAGTCGTTTAGAATCGATTTCTGAAGTAAGTGATCACGAAGTGAGTCATTTATAACTCTTCATGACCTTCGCAACTGAAGAGATCAGGGAGATCGGTCTGTAGTTGGAGGTGAGCAGTTTGTTTCCACCGTTATAAATTGGGACGACAGCCACCCGTTTCCATTCATAGGGTAACCTGCCTTCCAGAAACGAGCATTTGAAGAAGTTTGATGGTGAGGCACACGGAACTTCAGCACACTCCTTGAGTGCTCTTGAGTGAATACCGTCGATTCCTGGAGACTTATTCGGGTTCAGTTTCTTTAGTATTTCCATAATTACAGGGGGTTTAAACTCTACATAATTTAGTCCCTCTGTGATACGGGTGTCCAACAGAGGCGGGGTTTTGCCCCTCAAATGACAGAGGTTGTTTTGGAATTCATTAGCTAGAAGGTTTGCGACTTCGGAGTTGGGATAGGGAATCTCCAAACTAATAAGGTCCTGTAAACTTAGTGAACCGTTACTCTTCTGTTTCATCAACGAGCACAGTATCCCATGATTCCCCTCCAGGGTTCTATAAGGTTGTGTCTGGTAGTTTATTCCCTCATTTCTGATTCTCACTGTACATCTGTTGTGGGTGCCTTCATAATTTAGCCAGTCAAAAGGGCTATTAGCGCACCTCCATAGATTCCAAGATGACCGTTTGCGCTGTACTAGTTTGCGCGTGCTTGACTTAAGCCACGAGGAGTAGAATTTGTTGGTACTTCTTGGAATCAGAGAAGTGTTATCTTTTATCTTCTGGAGGATTATGTTCTTCAGCGGATCCCATATAGCATCAAGGTCTAGTGGGTCATCGCAATTTAAGCAAGCGGAACCTTCTAGATCTTACCTAACCTTCTCATAATCAGCCCTCCTGTAATCCCTGACTAGTGGCTGATCGGAAACGGGTGGCTTAGATACAAAAATATTGAAGGAGATAACTGCATGGTCATTCAGGCCAAGAGGGCTGAAAACATTCAAGTTGCTTACCCCAATGAACTGATTTGTGAAAATATGATCTAGTCAGGACGCCTTACCGTCAGGCCCCCAGCGAGTACACTGGGAAACATGTTCTGTCAAGGGGTTTTCCAGTAACAGTTCCCGAAAGTCTTTTGGAGCAGTAGATAAACTTTCTGTGGTAAAGAGCTGAGGAAAGTTGAAAAGTCTCATAATGAGGACCTGTGGGAAGTTCAGTTCCAGGGATCCTCTAATGGACTGTAATAACATTTTATTTAGCGTGGCATCAGCTGCAGGAGGGCGGTATAAAACTCCAACTAAACACGGACCTCCGTGTCACTTAATGCCACACCAGAGGACATCTTTAATGCCAATTCTATGAGATTGAATCTCATGGACTTTTAAGGAAGGGCAGATGTAAAGAGTAACGCCACCTCCCGGACCGTCTGGTCTATCCTTTCGGATTAGGCTGAGCTGTCCTAAACGAACTTCCTAGTCTTTTATGTTCTCTGATGGCCGTGTTTCACAGGAAGCCATTATGCTAGGATTTTCCTCATCCACTAATAACCTTAACTCAGGTACCTTGAAGCGTAGGCCTCGCATATTGCTGAAGGTAAAGCGAATAAGAGTATGAGGGCCGGAGGTCCCAGCAACCGGTTGAGTTAAGCGTGAGTTGCCAGCCTTTAAATGGCCGGCTCTGACAAGTTTTTTGATAGGGCGGTGGAATCAAGGGCTACTGTATCCACCGATCTCCTTGACTGAGAACTGGTGCTGGGTTCTTCGATCTGGGACGAGGTCGAGAAAAACTCTTGCTCATCGTCCGACCGTTCTACCGTTAGGTGTGCGTTGGCCAACAGTGAGTGCTTGAATCGCCTCTCAGTCTGCCTTTGTTCCCTGGGTCTGCAGTCGCTCACCTAAATTTCTCTAGGGAATGTATCATACATTAGAGCAGGATTCCAAGGCAGTTCTAACCATGTCCGGAGAGTCAAGGGTTACTTGGAGTAGCCCGGGAGTACGTGTAGTCGAGAGGTGAGCCGGCTTTGGAAGACGATTAATTCTTTCTGCCCTCACATCGATTTGGGGTTTGCTGGCAATATACACTCACTGATTTATGTCGTGGATAAGTTCGGCAGTATAGGCACCCAAACATCCGGGAATCCCGTGTCTGAAAATGAGGGGCGTTGACTACATTTACTACTAAGAACAACCTATTTCCACTTGAAATCCTGAGTGTTTATTCAGTAGCTTATTTATGGCTACATTTTAGAGGGGATATAACTTAGATCCAAACTGTATTAATGAATAAATCACCTAAACCAGTGGACTAAATTCAATGAACGTTCAACATTCATCGCTCACTTCTTGGTTTCAGTCTAGTGACATTGTCGAAGTGTTTGGCTGAGTAATTTTGCTAATCTTCGCCACAAAATGACACGTCAAAATGCTCCTGACATGTTTTCAAGTCAGCATAATCCATAAACTACAAGTTATAAACTATAAATTATAAGCTTACGCCTTAACAGACAGAATCAAGATAAAACGGAAAAAATGAGCGCCCTATTTAATAAGAGGCCAAGAACCTGCCTTTGACAACACCTACAGCACTCCACTTGTATATCTATATCGGTTAAACTGAAATTAGGCAGGTTCCCATCCTCAGTCGTCTGAGGATTTAGCCAACAAGTCACACAACGGAGTGGTCTCAGGAAATGCTTTCAAACAATGTGGCGCGAATTGCATCTACGCAAGTGCACGTGCTTCGGCGAATAAACTCAATGAACTACGGTAACCAATTGAAGACACTGAAGCTAATTTTGTAGAAGTTATTGTCAAACCAAGAGCTTTCTGCTGCCAAGACCACTCAGTTTCGCAACAGTGAGGGGGACTGGGAAGCCAAGGAAGGGGTGTACCACTTTACGTTACAGCTCACCAAATCGACACTCACGACTGAAGCTGTTTTGAGGTGCTCATACGGTACTCCATGTATCTGTTCAAGGCTGCTAGGTGCCTGACGGAGGACATTTATGGAAAGCCACCTTCCATCATGCAATATGAAGATCAAGCGCTAGAGGTCATCAGCTGCTCTCTTAAACTGAAACGCACTCCAGTTCTAGGAAACTTTGACCAACCTAAGATTAAATTTTCAGACCATGATTTCAGCATGAGTGACGACTCTGCTGACACCCAATACTTCAACTCGATCCGTGAAGTGGGGCATACAGAAAATATGAGGTGAGTAACGTGATGGAGGCAGAGTCAACCCCCACCCCGCCTAGACTGCATCTTCACGAACGAAGAATCCTTGATCCATAGACTAGTAATCCTCCCCCACTGCGGGGGAGTGATAACGTTGCTATCGGCTTCCAGTATGTCTGAAAAACCACACTGACACAAACTTTTGATGGGTGTCACTGGAACTTTAGGCGACTGAGCACCCCAGATATTTGGATGACACTAGAA